TATGTGTTATTAGATTCAGTGATTAATTTTAAGCAAATGGCACCATTTCGTTCTTTTCTATAGGACAAAATTATATGTGACACTGGACCACAAAACCAGTCACAAGGGTCAAAAAGGGGAAAAAAAGCTGAATAAATATGCTTTTCATTGATGTATGGTTTGTTAGGATAGAACAATATTTGGCCGAGATACAACTATTTGAAAATCTGTAATCTGAGGGTGCAAAAAAAATCAAAATATTGAGAAAATCGCCTTTAAAGTTGTCCAAATGAAGTTCTTAGCCATGCATATTACTAATCAAAAATTAAGTTTGAATATATTTACAGTAGGAAATTTACAAAATATCTTCATGGAACATGATCTTTACTTAATATCCTAATGATTTTTGGCCTAAAAGAAAAATCAATCATTTTGACCCATACAATGTATTTTTGGCTATTGCTACAAATATACCCCAGCGACTTAAGACTGCTTTTGTGGTCCAGGGTCACATATAGTGAACAGAGACCATCAAAGTCAAAAAAAGCACCATAAAATTATCATAAAAGTAGTCCAGTTTTGTAGTAGTAGTCCAACTAGTTTGCTATATTTCAAGTTAGTTCATTCAATTCCAAACATTCAAACGTGACAAGATGTTGGTATTAATTCACTGGTATTAAATGTGGCAGGTTTGAATGCACACAAGTGCAAATGAGATTTGAGAGCTTTGGCTTCTACTTTTGTGTTCCACAGAATAATTTCAGTATTTTCAATTTAAACAGAAGTGGCATTTTGGGGGAAACTGACAGCAAAGAGGCAACAAACAAAACCCCATCAAGATAATATTATCCACATTTAATGATCCATGAGGGTCAGAGCAGATGAAATCAGAGTTAAAGGTGAGGTCTAGGCCTAGAGAGTGATGGGGGCAGGAGCAGGCGTGTGAGATCACTTCACTGCGTTTAATGCAGAGGGAAAAGCTGCAGAGCAAACACAGGTGGTTCAGAGCGAGGGCAAAGCTCTCGTCCACATCCCCCACTCAGCATTTAGAGGGACTTGTGCGCTTCAAACTAAAACCTGCCGACAAACCAGCATATACATGAATCTGTAATATGTTAATGTAAACTAATTCTAATCTCTACAGACTGTAACAATTAACCATTTTTTGGCCATTTTTGTCCCTTAACGAATCTTGTTTTTTGTCAAGACATTCCCAAAAAGGTTTCTCTTTTATTCTCATGAAATTACCTAAAATTGGTCCCAACAAAGCTGCTTTCTTGCTAACACACACACACACACACACACACTTTAAATTATAGTCAGGAATTCCTGTAAACATATTGTTTTAAATTTAAGATCTCAGATGAAATTGGCAGATTATTTAGCATTTTCTGTGTATAACTTGGAGGGGAAAATCCGAGCAATCCTGTAGAAAAGATTTAAACATTGGAAAATGTGTTAAATAATGCTGAAGCTGTATTCAAATTAGCTAAATAGCTAAAAATGAACATGCAAGGGGTAAGGATGCACACAGATTAAATGTGTGCCTTATAATTATTGCACCTTAAAACACAAGCACACCCTTCTATACGCATTCTAGACATTTTAGATTTTAATTAGACATTATTTAGCCCATTTTTTGTTATTGTAGGTCATTTTATACTGTGGGCAACTGGTGGCCACAAAGATAGCAATAACTGACCCACAGTAAACCTGTAAGATAAATTTAGTGTGACAGCTCTGAGATGGTTGTTGAACAGGTTCTTTTACATGCGCCGAGGTGAAAATGAGACGGACCGAAGAGATAAGACAAGGAATAGCCCTGGGTGCTATCAACTGACAAAAGTCACGAGCCAAAAAACTATTTGCAGGTGCTTTGCTGTTCTGGTGAAAAATGATGATGGAATGACAACAAACACTAAATAAACCCCTAATTTCCATCTTAATTGAAAAGAGAAAAGAAAAAAAACAACTGGCCTATCTTTGATCATTATTTCCATATAAAAAAAGAGCACTGCTTAACGTTCTCTATCCCTAAAGAGTGTGGCGATTAAATACCTTGAAATTAATCATCCAAACGAAATCCCTGAAAGTTAGTGTGAGCTAAAAACTAAATATAAAGATCTGAGGAGAAGTCTTTGCTCATCATCTTAAACTCAACTCTTTTTTTCACCCTGCAGATTTTCTCCGGCTTTCTTTAAAGTAAAATGTCAATCGATAAGTGGAAGTCCTGTTCATTTTTAAATTGTTTTGTGGATATGTTCCTGGCACTGTTGACTAATTTTACGACAGCTGTTCCCATTTCGTTTTAAATTAAAAACCCCATTCTGTAATCCCAGGAGTCAATCTATAATTAAGGGGATTTATAGAAAAACCGAGTGCTACATTAATAACAAAATTTAATATATTTCTTAAGCCATCAGCCGAACGGTCTTAAATGTGAAATATAATTTTTTTTTTTAAATCTTCAGAAAGCTTTGCCTGGAGACAGACTGGACCTTTTTATCAGATTATAAATAATTATTATTATATCTACCGGTAATGGTTGCCATGTGGCACAGTTGCATCCCAGCATTTTCAGACCACAATCCAAATCATCACGACTAAATACAAACAAACCGGCATCTATTTGTTAATCATAAAATCTGTGATATCATGAAACTGGAATATTGTTATGATCAGTTTTGCCCCTCACCATTGGTTCGCTTCATAAACTGTGAATCTGACAGCAAATGTTTATCATATGGCTACACCATCAAAACAAGTGATTACAGGCCTAGAAATACGCATGAATAAATAAGCATCTGAAATACTTTTCCTTAAACCACTTTTTAAAAATTAGGGCTAAATAAATAAATAAGATGACAACAAGGAGAATTAACATTGATGCGATTTAAATTTGTCCTTTCTCTTTGAAGTGTTACAAGCTCTTGGTGCATAAAGAAGTTCTGTAAAGTTGCAAAGACTAAAGTCTCAAATCCAAAGAGATATTCTTTATAAAAGTTAAGAGTCAACCACACCTACCTAAAACGGCTCGTTCTAACACGCCCCCACATGTCTACGTCACGATGTGGGAAGATTTGCATAACACCGCCCAAATGTTCATGCAAAGAAAGAAGGCGTAACTTTTATTCTCGCTGTAGTATTGTTGCTGCCGCCGCCGCCATGTCGTGAAGACGCTGTGTTTCGTTGTGAAAGCGAAACTACTTTGTTTGGCCTTCCAAAAGAGGACGATATCCGCTTCGTCATGCCTGGAGCTGATCCGTGCTGGTCGCTGAAGAAATACATCAACTTCGTGCTGTGGATCGCCGGATCGGCTTTCACCGTGGACGAAGCGGAGTCCAGCCCGGGGTTGTCACATGTGGTTGCCGCAAGCCCGCCGGCCGCCGGCCACCACTCACTCTAGCCCTCCTTGTGTTTCGTTGTGAAAGCGAAGCTACTTTGTTTGGCCTTCCAAAAGAGGACACGACTAGAAATCAGTGGTTAAGTTGTATTTACAACACTGTTCCAGAACA